GAGAACGCCACCAAAGCAGCAGCAACAGTTTATCAAATGTTTGCGAGGTGGTGAAGGAAAAAAAAGCATGCTCATTTTCGTAGTTCAAATATGCTGTAAAAAAATGCCTCAAACTGCTCCCAGTTTATTTCTATCTCTGTGAGAAACCAAATTAGACACAAGCCTCAACAAACCTCAGGGACTCTAAAGAGGGACAAGGAGGCAAATCTGCATGCTGGAATTCAGAGAGAGATAAAATAAACTGTGATGTCGAGAGTGAATTGTATCATTTTTATTATAGACACTATAAGAGAGCGCCGGTATAACTCAGGATAAAGAGACAGCAGGAAGAAGCACCAGAGATCATATTACCAAACAAATCTTCATTTTCTGTCTTATAACTGTCAACAAGCTCCAAATAAAACTTTAACCTCCTATAGTTTCAGACACTAATAATAATGCAGGGCATAGTTAGAACCATAGTTTTAGTGCAGAGGTATTCAATTAAAATTCAGCGAGGTCCAGTTCAAGATAGTTTCCTCATGCAAAGGTTCGGAACATCACAATAACATCTAATTTGTGCTATGATTTAGTCCCATATATATTGAAGTAGCCAACAGTGGTATTAACGTCTGTATGTAGTCAACAACTGACTGTCAAATCAAATAAATAATGTTCAATTGAATAATATCTAAACAATATTTATTATTACAGATTTCAAATTGAACTGTATTAACTATAAATTATAAATACTCTAACAATAAATAAATGTTCTTCTCTCATTTCAAGTCAAATAAGAGCTGGATAAAAAAAACAATACACAACAGAAAAAGCTTTTGAAAAATGTGGCTCTTAAAATAAAGTACTGAACTGAATTGTCCTGCAGCTTTAATTTCAGTTTATTCAGGTTTGAAGTGATGTCAATCAAAAGAGCCACGATATTATATTCTTATCTTCTAAACACAGAAGATTGTGTGCAGGGACTCAGTGAATTAATGTATTGGGATTCTGATCATATGGCTCTTAGGTTTATTTTTCTGGGCCTTCATTTTGGATGTGAGTGGGTACGTTTGCTCAAAAGATTTGTGCTCAGTCTCGTAGAGGCGCTTCACATTGCCGCTTTTGATAATCGCCACGGTCTCTGAACATGAGACTCACTGGTTTTAAACTGGTTGTGGGAATAATAAACATAAAAGAGTCTGGACGCTCATCAGAATACACATATTTGATTGGCCGGGTAGCATGACGTGAGATGGTTTACGACGCATATAATTGGTCGGTGTGTTTCCTTGACTGCTGAACGAGGTCCGTAAAGGCTAGAAAAGCTGCGACAGTTAAAATAGAAGCGCTCCACGAAAAATGTCATATTTCTCAATTATATTGGTTATAACTTCATGGTCCAGATACAACGGCGTCTGGGGCATCTTTCAAATTGCAGTATGAAAACAAAAAAAACAGCTCAGCCCTAATACAGAGAGTGACAGCAAGAAAGATAAAACGGAGACAAAAGCAGGGAAGTGGGGGGAAAAAAGACAGGAAGAGAAAAAATAGAGTGAGAGAGATAGTGATGAAAGAGAACGAGGGACTCAGGATGTGGTGGTACAGTAAGAGGCTCCTATATAAACAGACAGCCTCATTGCATCTTCATGCCTGAGTGAGAGCAACACTCACAACAGCGAGAGGCATCTATCAATACGCACACACCACTGCTCAATGGCCTTGTAACGACTGAGCAGAGCTTAATGGATTTACAGCAGAAAAGACTGCGATCCAAATATGAGGTGACAAGAGGGCTAAAACTCTCACCGAACTCATCTGGTGCATTATGATTTGGTCATACTTGAACTATGGCCTCAAACACTGAGCACAGAATGAATCAACACAACAGGGTCACTATTTGTTGCCTCCAACTGCATTTGATTGTACAGATGTTCATAGTGTTAGCTCATAGTATGTGACAGGCAAGCATCTACTGTATACACAATGCTCTGTGTGGCTAAAGCATCAATTAAGAGAGCTGGGCACGGCGTGGCAGAGATCATGCCAATTTGTCCCAGTGGCAAAACGTGATACTGCAACAAAAGTCTACCACCGCACAGAAAGCATTTCCCCCAAAGCAGCCATTATAAAAAAGAGGACTGTGAAACTTAAGAGTGGACACCTTTAGCTGCATACAAGGACAATTCTTTGAATTATCTGTATTCTTAAACCTTAAATGGGTTATATATTTAAAACCTTCTCAAAGCGTAGGAGAGCCACTTTTTGAGCATGGCGTTTTAGGCGTTTTGTAGTCTTGAACAAGCCGTCAGGAACTAACACCACACACATTTCAGATTTGTTCACATAGATCTGGTTCAGCAGATTGGAAAAAGTTGACCAATCAAGCAACCAGGATTAAGAATGGGCATCTTCCTTCATAGCTAGCTAGCTACTAAGCGACATACATGGGAAAATAGGAACAGAAATATGACAACAGGTGTGGATGACATTTACACAGATGTCCGTGTTTATGTTAGTCAACATACAGAAATAACTCTTAAATTTACTTATTTTTTTGAAAAATCTGAAAAACATTAAGTTTTTACAGCTCAAGCAACTGCCATACATGTCAATGACAAATGCTGTTGGTGGGACATATATGTCACTTGCTATTGATTATTTTGGGTAAAACAGGTTAAAAAAACACTGTTGCACATTTGTCCTGGACTTTACAATGAGGAAGTAAACCAGGAAGAAGAAAAAAATGTTCTGGTGTGTGTGCTGGCTAAGCAGCTTTGATTGGAATAAAGGAGTGCCATCTTGGAGCCTGTTATCCCTTTCTAATAAGGCATCCATCAGCGAAAATGGGCAAAAAGATTCAAGCCACAGTTAGATCTATATATGAGCCTGTTGTGTTGTTCCAAAGCCCGGCACTCTGCAGAGGGATGGGTGGGTGGGGGGTGAAGCAGAGCGCTGAAAGCAGGGCCTTGTTGCCCTCAGTGGTAGCCTGACCAATCTTCTCCTCCCCACCCTGGCTCACCCACCTACCGTCAGCATACACACAAACACTCACACACACAAATTATACCAGTCAGCCAGACAAGCCGTCTAACTTTAGTGGGGGAAGCCACAGTTGTACTTTGTGTGTTGGCTTCCCGAGGAGCAAGCACAGGTAGAGTCAGCACAGCCACGGGAACATGTTCAGGCACAAGCCTACAGTTTAATAACTGTGACAGTCTTCGCAGAGGTATCATCATTAAATCTGATGCTGTAGTTACACTCATCGTGGTGAACCGCAGTGTGGCGGGGAACAGAGATGTGTGGATTCTATGCTTTTGCACATTCAACACATTAATCAAAATAGATTGGGTTGAGACTTGTCATTAAAAGACAAACAAACAAAAAAAAACTCCAAATCAACCATTGGAGGTTTTGGTGGCAGGATCCCGTGAAAACAAGCCACTTAAATATCTGCACACTTTCATAACACGCCTTCCCCCAATCACCCCACAGGGCAGGGGTATTCACTTCAAATTCAACGAGGTCCAGGTAGAGAGAATTTCCTCATGCAAAGGTCCGGAACATCACAATAATGTCTAACTTGAGCTATGAGTTAGTCCCATATATATTGAAGTAGCCAACAGTTGTATTAATGTCTGTATGTAGTCAACAACTGACATTTCAAATAAAGAAAGTTCAATTGAATAATATCCAAACAATATTTATTGTCAGATTGAACTGGATGAATGATAAATAATACATAATCTAATAATAACTAAATGTTTATTTAAGTAAGGACTGGATTAAAAAAATGTAATACATAACAGAAAGCTTTATAAAAAACGTACTTAATTGTAGAAAAATTAACTGAACTGAATTATCTTTGCCCTGCAGCTTTAAACTCAGTTCATTCAGGGTGAACTGATGTTAATCAAAAAAGCTACGATATTATGTTCCTCCCCTCTTGCAGTAAAGGCTAGAAAAGCTACGCCGGTTAAAATAAAGGGGGTTCCATCAAAATGTAATAATTCTCAATTATCTATCGGTTTTAGGTCTGGGTCCATATACAACGGTGTTTGGGTCCGGACCCGGACCGCGGTCCACCTATCAATGACCCCGGCCATAGTCCATGGTGTATTTTTCTCACTGAATGTTGAGGAAACTTGACTCATTTTGGCTTATCCTCGATGAGTCATTCAGGCATAACACTGCCCTGAGTTGGTCAATGTTCCCTCGTTCCCGCCTCAGTGTCAACCCTTACCATAACCAATCACACAAAGGGGAAGGGTCATGGGGTCATTCCCCAATTCCCAGGAGTCTCATTGGGGCCTTTTAAGCGTTCCACAGCGCTGAATTGGTCCTGACCCCTCAGATCATCCAAGGCGGTATGTCCCCCACACAGACCGATCACCTCAGTACACAACTGTTTTTATCCGTCAGTGAGAAGGCCTCTGACTTCATCAGTCACCATGACATCCACCAAAAACACACAATGATTTTTGGGGGGTTCAGTGGGAGTCACTGGAACTCAGCTTCTGAGTATTAGTAATTATCAGTGTGTAAAGCTTTAAACATAACAATGACTCAAGACTATTCCACGGTGGAAAACTAACATCAACCTATACAGACTTTCACAAAGGTGAATAAACTGTTCTTTTCTTTTTGGGGGTAAGAAGGTCCCCTATAGCTTGTAAAGAAAGGAACATATGTTGCATCCAGCAACTCACTCATATACTGGCCAACCTTCTACTATGATGAGCTTTACATACATGAAAGAGCAGAGAGGGGTCTCCTCTCTCAGAACAAATCTGCCAGCTGCTCTTTTTCATAATAAATGGCTTAATCTCTTTCTAACTATTTTCTGAGGCAGTCACGCTTATACAAAGACACACCAAAAAACAACAAAGGAGGTTTAATGGAACTTTGTAGTACAAACATTAGCCTATTCAAGGCTTTTTCAGACCCATCACATAACTACATACACACCAGAGTTGGAAGAGCAGTTTGTGTAGGTCTGTGTGTTTTTGCAACCTCTTCCTTACCTGGACTAGGACAGGGCTTTGGGATCGGGCAGCTGTTTTCTCTCTCTTCTGTCGAGGTTGCGTGTGACTTGGGTTGTGGAGCTGGTAGACTGGGGTCCCCCTCATCAGGTGGCTCTGGGGAGATGGCAGGGGCACTCCTCTCCTCATCCATGGGCGTAGGCCTGGCTCTTATGGAAGGAGGTGGCGGGGCCAAGGAGTGAGCCTAAAGCAGAGAGAGGACATGGCCATAAATATTATTACATTGATGTCATCATGGGTCATGCGAAAGACTTCTCATTATCTTTTTAAATCGAGCAACAAGCCAACATGCCTTGCTTAAGAGAAAAAGGTGTAATCAGGCACAACTTGAACCAGCATGAACCGCTTCCAGCTATAGAATCACTAAAGGAGGCTGCTCTCATGAAACAGTGGTATAACAACGGATGTGCCTAATCATAGCCTACTTTTAATTAAAAGTATTTAAACTCTTTAAACTTATGTTGTGCAAATAATAAAAATATGGGTAGAATGTATAGCTCGGCAATATTTAACTAATAGCATCAGATACAAAGACAAGAGTAACAAATTATAGGCCTAAGTAAAAGCACAAATCTATAATTTAAATTATTTATTTTTTATGTTGTTTTGGGCCCCAGACTTAGTTCTTACTAAATGGTTGCTAAGCGACATACAGGCTTAGCTTCCTGTAATGAGGTCACGTGGGTTTCATCTGATACTTCAGATAGGAGACATGCAGAACCAAGCACCCGGGAGGTTCTATTCTCATCATTAACACGGGACTAATTGAGTGTGTCACGTGCCAACATGTGTTTGGCGCGCGCCAACCCTGCCAGGGAAACTCAGCTGGACAGCTGTTTGCGCGCTCCCGTGGCTTTGCGCCGCACTCGCTGCCTCCAAAACATTTTTAAGCTGAGTTTTTGCGAAAGTGCTTGATGAAGCGAAGTTTAACGAGTTCATAAAAATGTATTCACCCCTAAATAACTACAGTGAGCTGAGTCTTATACTTTTGACGAGGTGAGAAAGTGTAAAGAAATGTCGGGGAAAGAGAAACAGACATTGCACCGCACACAAACAGTGCCAAACTTCTAGCTGAAATGTGCATTACGTGTACACGCTTAAAATAGTTGTGTCTACCTTTCAAGAGAAATGTATGCTGAAATTAAAAGTACAATTTTTATATGGGCTACTAAATGTTACTGCAGGCTAATTAACGGGCGTATTCTGTTTACCTTTATTGCATGTCTGCGCCCTGTTTCCCTAAACGAGTCCCTGCATGCTCAGACCGAGCTCAGCTGCAGTGAGCCGATCATTTTTCTGCCTAGAAAAACCACACGCACCACCACACGCAAAAAAAGAACTTCTTACCTTCTCTCTGGCTGGGAAACGGTGCAGCCAAACCTTCGGCTAATTCATTCTCTGACCGCTCCAGGTGGACTTCTCGCACTCGGAGACCCTTTCTGTCCTCTCTATCCCTCCACTATTGTCACCCTACACGACCACCAAATCGCTCTTCGGCTCATGTAGGTGCCCAGAGCGCCCGATTCAATGCATATTTCTCCAGCGAAGATAGTTTTCTCTCCGCCTACAAAGTGTCTCTCTCCGGCTCGCCCCGTCCTCCAGCAGACCAGATGTTGGGAAGTTTGTGCGTCTCTGCAGGCAGCTCGCTGACTGCTCTTTGTCTGCACTGCAGGTTTTCCTCACTTTCTATTGTGTTTCTGCAAACAAAGTCCAAATAGTCTACACCACCGTCCCAAACTTCTTAAACTGAGCAGTGAACTACCCGTCCTGTGTAGGCTACTCGGTCTCTCCTCTCCCTTCACTCGCGCTATACTTTGCCTCAGACTTCTGTGCTGCTGCTATTGGACAGGGAACTACAGTCAGCAGTGATTGTGCTTCCTCCAGGCTACAAACTAGTTGGGCTGAACTATACTGTCATGTAATTACCCCCTTAACCCGAACCAGGCACAGCACTAACAGGGCAGCTTTCATCAAGAATTACGAGCTCAGGAACCATATGTTTTGCCATTAATAATAGAGAAGAGAACAATGTCACATTTGTATTTACTCACTCAAAATCACTTAGATTGTGGCATTTCTGTGGTGCTCAGTTATAGTCCAATATACAGTGTTGTGTGGAATGTCTCTACCTAAACTGTAACCACCGAGGGAGGCGCTGACACCGGCCGCCGGCATAAATAATGCGGTTGTTAATGGCCATAACCACTTGGGGGGGCGTTCTTTTATGTGTGTGTGTGTGTGTGTGTGTGTGTGTGTGTGTGTGTGAGATGTGGCTAAAAGATACGGGATCATTTCATGGTCAGTTAACCGTGCATGTTCGTTATCGCTGGAAGCTAGAATAAAAAAAAACTAGAACTTCCTAGCTTTCTAAATCACATAAATGCACCATGACCCGAAACACACAACGTGTGCATTTAAAAGTGAAACGACTCAGTCAAACATATATATGATATTACCCAAACATTTCTTATATGTGCCATTTTCGCCACAACCGTCAGGTTGTTGCGACTCACTCGTTCTACCGTGAGGCCTGGCAGCAGCCATCTTAGTCAAGTTTGACTGGCTCGCACTGGCGGGAGCTCCGTCTATTCGTGGCTGCCTTGTGGCTGTATCAAAACGCCAACAAGACAAATATTCTATTCAGCTTGCTAGAAGAATCTGTGGATTCTCCACCGTCCATGTAATTACATAGCATGAAGCTCTACATATATGAATATTGATAAATAACAACCAGCGATCTTCCAGCCAGGAGACCGCTGTTAGTTTCCCATATTAAACAAGAAGTACAATGTTGATTTATTTGTAACGCAATAAATAAAAAACACATAATGTAGTTACGTCAATTCAATGGTTATTTGAACTCAAACGATGATATTTTCCTCAACCTAACTAAGTAGTGTTGTGGCCTAAACCCCTCCTTGTTTGACCCGCAGGTCTGTCGACCTATGTGCTTCATCCAAAGTCTCAAGCGCTCACAGCGAGGCCTTTTTAAGCTGGGGAAAACGCTTTGGTGGACACAGCCCATAAGAGGCTATGTCAGGGGGACCAAAAACGAAATGTTGTTTAGGGCCACCGAAATCCCAGGCCTGGCCCGGCCCTGATTTCCACTATATTAATGCCATTTTAATCTCTTACAGCAACATAATAACCGTTGGTGTTTGCAGGGAAGAGGAGTTCATTGGTTACTTTTTGTCAAAGAATGTTGTTTTTTTATCTACTATGTGAAAACTTGAATGTTACTTGTTGAGGAACCAACACATAGTTTTGTCACTGTTTTCAGTTTAACATGTTATTGTGACTCACTGTGGGAATTTTTCTTCATTCACTCTGGTGCTCACGAGACCTTTTAATATGTCGCAAGACCAAGACAGACAAGGTCATGAGTCATGCTCATGATAGGGATTGTGCATTCAACAGCAATTACAAAAAAACACATAAAAGCACATCCCCACCTTATATATTATTATTTGCCATTGACATCAGCTGGATATTTTCGGAAGTTTAAAAAATGGTAACTTTGATATCAAAAGCAGAAGGACTGAAACTAAACTTTTACTGAAAACTTCTTTGTTATAGGTTTGCGTATCAAAGGACCTGATATTCATGTTTTAAAACTCTTGGTACCACTGTTCACTCAGCAACAACATAGTGTTTCGAAGTAAATAAAAACATGACATTTCATATATACAGAAAACACTCCATGCTATGTAGTGTATTTTAATTTGCAACAGTATAAATTAGTATCGGTTAATGGGCAACAATAATGATCCTAATGAGCCTACTTGTCTAATTTGAACCCAAACTTTTTTTCTTACATTTTGCAATATTTTTCTAACAAATGAAACCACAACTTATCTAACTTTGTTGAAGGTATTATTGAGAATAGTCTTGACTTATTGATATGACAAACAAGAGGAAAACAGCACATGACTGAGAGGCCTTGTATGCTTGTGCCATGTTGACACCTGGAGGTTGTGGCTGATGAGACTGTTTCACTGTGATGGATGTTTGGGGGGCGTGGCAGAGACACGAGATAATTCACGGCAGCAAATCTTCTGAGGCGTTTTCTGAGACAGGCTTCCTTTTTGCAAACAACTGGATGGCCTCCTCCTCAATTTGTGTGTACAATCACTCATCTGAGACAGACAGGCTTTGACACCAACAAATAGTTGTATGATTCATGCCCTGTGGGGGTCTCAGCGGCTGTCTGGTCAGAGTTTGTGTGGGCAATAATCAGTCAGAGAAATCAGAGTTACAGCAGGATTATTTATTGTCTGTATTTATTTTTACACATACTGTGCTTTACCAGGGGTAAAGCAGACCAGACTCACTTTATGATACAGATATTTCTGTTACACATAATTCTTATAGATATGAAGACAGATAATCTTGAGTTGTATAAATGTCACCCGTCCCATGGATGATTTTAACAAAGCCTATACCGCTACAATACCAACCAATGGCAGCCTTTCAAAGGCTCTTTGAGCTAATTCATATCAAAACATTTCAAATAGTTGCCCTCCCTGCTACTTTACATGCATAACTCACCAATTTGTCGTCTACTGCAGGTTTCATTTTTAACAGGATAGTAAAAGACCACTCCCAAATTGTATCAAATTACAATCCACCCTCATTTCAACAAAGTCACATGATCACAATGTGTTTAATGTGTTAATGAGGGAAATTCTCATGTTTAATCTGATATCATCACATCACCTAGAAATTACGCTGTACAATTGTGGTGTTATGAAAACAGAAGCGCCGCATAAATAAACCAAATACAAGCTCCAATAGACCCTGACGAGTATTGATGTTACATTGTGGCTAAAGGTTCCACAGTAATTGGCAGTTCCATGTCGAGGTGAACGGGGACTCTTTGGACCGTCCAAGGTCTAGTGCACCAAGCAGACGAACATGGCGGTGTCCTTCCACATTCCTCAAATCAGCTGTCGACACACACACACACACACACGGGCACATACACATGCAAACTTTAAAGAAATAATTCGACATTGTGGAAAATTGTTTTCTTGCAGAGTTAAATGAGAAGGTGGCCACTCTCATGGCTGCACAGTCAATATGAAATAGCTTGGTTTGGCTTTATCAAAAGGTAACAAAATCCCACCTACCAGCATCTGTAAAGTGAGATGTTATGTCTCGTTTTGTTTAAATTTGTCTAAATTACAATTCAGTGTTTCACAGGGGGGTTAGGCCAGGAAGTAACTTTTGTTACCTTTTGTCAGGACATGGCTGCTTTTTCAACAAAAAAAATGTTTGGTCGCTATAGCTAATTTTCCTATTCATACAACTGTATAAGGGCTGACCTTTTCTCTTTTACACTCACCCGCTTCCATTATATTGAGGTTAAGGCATGATTAAGGGCGTGGTCGCTTTGAGTGACAGGTGGGAGCCGTACCAGGTCGCGAGCTGCTAGTTGTCTCCACCGCTGCATTATCCAGGCCAGCCTCAGCTAAACCGACTATCCACCTCTTTGCCAATTATTGGATTAACCGGACGTTAGGCTGTGTCGTCACTGCAAAGATGACGAAGGACGGACCCACACACTCTGAGCTTTCAGAAACCAATGGGTGACTTCACAGAGACTGCTTCCATGTTTTATACAGTCTATGAGAGTGGTATCGTTCTTTCCATTAAGTGAATATGTAAAAAAGAGGGACAACATTATGTTAAAAAATTCCAACCCACTCTTTTAATACTCACCACACCAAAATATTTAAGTTAATAGTTAGTTGCATATATTACGTAAGTACGAAATAGCACTTCCTTTCATGCTACTGCTTAGTATAGAATTTGTTTTTTCAGCAACTGAGTCACAACTCTAGCTTAATATATATATATATATATATATACATATATACAGGCCAATTTAAGGACCAATACATAAGGAAAGTAATAAGTTCTGCTACATACAGTACCAAGGGCAACGTGTCCTCACAAAGGCAATCAAGTCATGCTTCACTATAGTGACAGCCATTCTACCTTTCTCACAGCACGTAGACCTGTTCTTTGTTTGGCTTAGGCCTCTGAGGCTTCAGAGGCTTTCCAGTCCACTGAGATCCAGCAGAGAAAGAGCAGGTTGCCTTCTCTAGCTCGCCAGCACGGGAGGACTGAGGTGAGAGCTGCTCCACTGCTCCAGGACTTCTGCCCAGACTGCATGAGATGCCACATCCAGAGCCTATACCCAGCATCAGATCAGCAGACAGGCAGGGTGGGAGGGACATGTAGAGATTGAGAAAGGGAGAGCGTCCAGACAGAGGAAGGGAGAGAGTGTGTGTTTGTGTGTGAGTACAGTGTGTGTATAGGTGAAACTGGAGCCACACGCACACAGAGAGTATCTGCGTAGACCGTCTCCGAATATTTTTCTAAACTTTTGACGTTGATTGTTCAGTGGTTTTAAGAGAGAGAGAGAGAGAGAGAGAGAGATAGAGAGAGAGAGAGTAAAAGAGACAGAGAGAGAGAGAGAGAGAGGTGGGGGGGGGAGAGAGAGGAGGCTGAAAATGTGGTTCCAATCACTCACAAAGATGCTTTTGTTCTGTAGCTGGGGCCCTCTCTCTCTCTCTCTCTCTCTCTCTCTCTCTCCCTCTCACTCTCTCCCTCTCACTCTCTCACTCTCTCTTCCCCTCTCTCTCCCTCTGTCTCTCTCTCTCTCTCTCTCTCTCTCACTCTCTCTTCCCCTCTCTCTCCCTCTTTCTCTCTCTCTCTGTCTCTCTCTGTCTCTCTCTCTCTCCCTCTCACTCTCTCACTCTCTCTTCCCCTCTCTCTCCCTCTCTCTTCCCCTCTCTCTCCCTCTTTCTCTCTCTCTGCCTCTCTCTCCCTCTCTCTCTCTCTTCCCCTCTCTCTCCCTCTCTCTTCCCCTCTCTCTCCCTCTTTCTCTCTCTCTGCCTCTCTCTCCCTTTCTCTCTCTCTCTTTCTCTCTGCTTCACCGAAAGTGACATTCTCCATGTTTGTCCCTTTCTCATCAGACTCATGACTCATCTGAGGGTTCTTGGGAAGCATACCTGAGAAAGAGAGACACTAACAACAACGATCCAGCATTTGTGCAAGTCAAGTTGTTGCTCACACACTATACTATCCCATCCACTCAACATTATGTTGTGTTCCTTTTTGGTTTGGGAAAGTATCGTAGAGCTGTCTTTGTCTGCCATGTTTTTAAAATGTATGATTGTATGTTCTTTTTTTATATAAGATATTAGTTTGATTCAAAGAATGTGATCTAATTGGTCATTGCTGAAGACAGAGGGATTTATTAACAGAGCTCAACGGAGATGACTTGATGTTTATGCAACCAATGTTATTAATCAATTAGTCAATTAATCGACTTAATCCACTGTTTCTAGCTTCTGAGATATGACAATTTGCTGCTTTTCTGTGTTATATATCAGTGTAATATGATATGTAAGTGAATATGTTTGGATTTTTGGATTATTGATGGGCTCTGGGAAATTGTGATGGACATTTCTCAAGACATTTTCTTGAATTTCAAGACCAAACAATTATCCCTAATATTCAGTTTCTACACATTTTATATTAAAAAGGTCAGTTATTAATGTAAACATACAGCAGTGGGGTCCAAGCAATGAGGAAGTAACATCAATCTAAAGAAAACACATTTGCACGTGCTTTGAATGTTATCAGTTATATATATTTCTTTCAATGGAGACACAAGAGAAATAAATCGTTTTAGCTCATTAGATTGAACAAGCAGATCCATGTGAGTGCATGCAGCAGCAGACACACATTATGTTGTGTTGTTTTGAGTGAGTCAATATATTTTTTGGGGGGCAGCCCACTCCTTCAGCCGCAAATATGGAGGGGAAGAAGGGCGAGGGAGGATGACAGTGTGTGAATAGGGAGAGACATGCTAGCATGGCTCTCAGTAAATTTATTTTGTGACTCACAAGGTCTGCCTGGACCTCAGTGCTCTCCATGCTGGAATGAGCAGCACACACACACACACACGCACACACACACACACCCATATTTATTTAGCATTGCAAGTCAATGCACATGCACAGACAAGCAGATGCATTAACATGTACACATCCAGGTTTGTGCACAAACCTACTGCTTACTCTGTCCAGACGAGCATTAAGAAATATATTCAGCGCTTAATGCCAAACACTAGTGTCAGCCAAGAATAACCTCTTTGTGTGTTGCTCTGCACCCTGGCTCACCTTGTGCAAGTATATAGTGCTAAGTTTCTGCTTAGCATTCACGATGTGTGCATGCCAGTGAGTGTGTTTCTGTGTGCGTGTGCATGTGTGTCTGCAATAAGATTAAGATGGAGTCTCTCCCAAAACCAAATGTCACAGGGATTTAAGCGTCAAGAGTGAGTTTCCTCCCAGCTGACTAACGGAGAAGTTCACTAAAAGCACAAGATTAAACAAAGTTTTTTTCTCCCTGTGGCAACACATTCTCCCTGCATGCGGTGTGCAGGTTTAAAGATCAGCTGTAGGGCATGCGCCAAACCTGCGCAGTAGAGAGACACAGGTAAGGAGGAGAAGGAAAAATGGAGCAGGTGAGTGAAGGGAAAGTAACTATAGGTCACAAAAACTAGTTTCTACCATATTCAGCACCTATTCTATAATCTTACACGACTTCAGCCACCTGCAGTTATGTAATTCACTCCATCACACACACTACAGGTAGTTCATTCTGGGACAGTTCTTCACTCTCTGGCCCACCCTGTTGGTCGGACCACGTCAGTGGACCAAAGTGATGTTTGTTGCTGGGTTTGTGTTTATGAGATGCTGCTTGTGTTGTCCGGTTTGTTTACTCCTCCTGGTGGCCACTTCAAGTATCACAACACATGCTGACCTCTCTGAAGGCCTCGCATGGCTGACACAGGCTGCACTTGTAACTCAAGGAAATGTTACCATTTGAGCAGCAGCTTGTCGTCTAATGAGGTTTACATGTCAGGTAGGATTGATGAACGACTTTACGGCGATGGCACCACAGGAATGACTTCATACATTCTTTAAAGTTTAAATGTTTGTATATGTTTGACTATGAACTAAAAGAAGAGAATTTTCTATATGAAAAATCGTACGGCCTTTAACTATTAAAATGGCAAATTATCAATTGTCCTCAAGACAACTCAATTCATAATGAACCCTTCACCAGCAAACAGATTGCGACAGCGGTTGTAAAAAGGGAGATGACAGATTTTTTTACAAGAAAATTAATTTTTAATCACAAATATAAATGACCAGTTTTCTAATTACGAGGTGTAAAATGTTAATTTACTCTACTCACCATCTGCAAGGCCCTGAACTACTTGGGTCCCCCAAACCTCTTCTACCTCCTCCACCAGCACGCCCCTCCTGATGCCAACCTCCTGGATGTCTCTAGGACCAAGCGCTGAACCCGGGGTGACAGAGCGTTTTCATTTGTCGCTCCTTCTCTGTGGAAATCATCAACAAACCACATGAAAAATGCCCCCACATTGTCATCAACCCTACATCTTTAGACTTGCTCCCCTTGTTTTTATTTCCTAGTCAACACAATTTTATTCTAATCTTTTCTTTTTCTTTTTATGTCCATATTAAAGAGTTTACTGCTTGTTTTTTCATTCATTTAACAGTTTGTAAAGAGTCTTTGAAAACCTTGAATAGCGCTATATAAATCTGAGGTATTATTATCATTTAAAAAAAAAATGAAATGCTTGTACTAAACCTGTGTCAACATGATTTTAACATGGACATTTGGTGCAGCATTATTCTTTTGCTGAAACAGTCATTTTCTAATAGTTTTACAGTATGAAAATTTTCAGTTTGTGTAATTTTTCCATAGCAGACTGATATACATCAAAACCTGAATGAGGTCTAAGGAGGTCAAATTATGCAGTAATCCATAAGAGAAAAGCAGAGATTAGAGGGAAGTCAAAAAATAAACATAATTTTGTGTTGCAGAAATGTATTGTAGTGGCCATTTGTCGAATAAATCAAAATAAAACAAACAATAATCAAAGGCCGCTGATGCACCGTGGTTGGTATTTTTCCAGTCAAAGTCAGCTTTATTGTCAATTTCTCAATATGTACCGAACATACAGAGGAGTTGAAAAAAAGTTTCTCACCAGTCCAACATAATACAGATAATAAAGTGCAAATAGATAGAAAAAACATTGAGACAACATATATATGAAGAAAAACCATTCTGCAGGCAGAAGTATAGATTGTCCATGCAGGATTCCGATTCTGCTTATTTATTTAAGTAAGCCAAACAAAACAAGCAAACAAACAAAAAGAACAAAGAAAACTCCTGTCTTACGCTGTCTCACCTGTGCTGGTAAAATCTATAAGCCCACCCCGGTGCATGCTGGTCCTATCTACCTACTCCTATATATAGCCACAGGTGCCCACAGTATTTACCCAAACAACAACAAATAATATAACTAAACAAATGACTATTAAAGAGAAAAAGCAATCTTAATATATCAAACAATCAATCCAATAAAATAATTAAACAATACTAACTACTTATTAATTAAATAACAAAATACTAATATCAAATAAATAGCTCCAACATGTCTCTTTTTCTTCTTTCCTATTCACCATCTTGTGAGCCCTTAGATGGTCCAACAAGCTGGGAAGCGCTGCTATGTACCTCTGGAGAAGAAACAACAAGGACGCAGCGAAGGACAGTGTAATAAGTATTTTATTGCATTTTATAATGCCATTGTCAATAATTAGTACAGATTACATGCAACTAGACCTACTGTACAGTTTTTTATTGTCTGCATGGACAGACACAAGAAGATTCAGGTTACAAATACACAGATATATGTGTGTGTTTTTATACAGCATGAAGGAAAGGGCAGTGACTGGCATTACATGGCTACCCGGGGTGGAGGGTCAGAGGGCTGGGCTCCACTGGTCTGTCTAAAGCCACCACCCAGTCCCTGTCCCCGCCTCTTCCTCGGGTCACACTTTCAAATAACAAGAAACAGAACAAAAATCAAAGGATAAAGAGAGGTAAACAGGTAAACTGAAACTAAGAAACGAAACAGAGAGTCACTGCTGAAAATGTACACACATTCCTTAGGTTTAACCAGAGGAGAGCTGAAGTGGTAGATCCATCGGATTGTGGCTGTCTACTTGATAATACCGTCAGGCAATGCATCCACTTTGAGAGTCCCTTTCCTCTCACATGACACCTCAGAACTGTGCAATCACAAGTCAGGATTTGGGCTCCCTGTGTCCTTTGAGTCAGTCACCAGCCAATAGGATGCAGGCTGGTCCTACAACACCATTACGTGGATGTAAGAGAGATAACAGCTATCAGTAAAGGTGATCAGTGAAGTCGATGGAGACTTTTGGAAGTAGCTTGGTTTTTGTTTGGTTAAGGTTGTGGCATTGGTTTGGTTGCAGTTTGGTTACAGTTCAGGAGTTTGGACTAAGCAAATGGTTGCTTTCAATGCCTTTGGTAGTCAGAGGATGAGCTGCATCTCTGAGAGCCATTCAACGTTTTGGTATTGGGACTACGCAAGAGGAGGAGTATCAAAAATGCAACAGTGTCAGCCTTTGATCTGCCTCTGTGGGACTGGGAGATGAGGTTTGTGACTGGTCACCACCAGCCAGGTTTGTGACTCAGTGACACCCCCATGGCGCCTGCAGATGATTGACAGCTCCGTGGGTCAGAGTTCAGCAGAGGAATGACTGGGGTCAGGGGTCAGAGGGAGGGGGTGACAGGGAGCTGGGACACATATTGGCACCTGAGAGGACCAACAGCAATATCTTTCTGGAGCTCCGCTGTTTTTTTTTTTTTTTTTTTCTTTAAAGCAAGAGAGGGGCTACATATTCTTACATTTTTTCTCATTTTCTTTTCAGAGGTTTTGGTCCTGTCTTTGAGAAAAAGTCCTTCTGAGGTATCAATACATAATGAAGTAACTTTTTAGTTTGTTTTCCATTTGTTTTTTTCTTTCCTTAAAAATGCATAAATGCAGTACAGAGACAAAAAAGTATCAAAATAGACCTAGCTAAGATAAATATACAAACAGGTGTTACCTAAACCACTGATCTAACTTTTATTCTTTTACATTTTTTTAGAGATAATACACTTAAAAAAATCAGCGTCCCAGACGTTTTATGAAGAACTGAAAAATGGAAACAAAAAAACAAAGCGGAACTAATAAACCGAGATACCTGCAGCACTTAATATGATAAATACATATACTTCAGCATTAGCAGTACAGTATAGGAATCAGAGCTGAAAGCTTTACAATAGCTAAACAGGTGCAGAAAAAAAGGAAAAGAAAAATCAAAGGACAAAATGGGAAAGAATGCCCTGGAGAGATAAGTCAAGCATTATTATACAAGAATACATCGTGTTATGCCAAGCTGGAGAAAGAACAGAAGTGTTACATGGCGACCTGTGAACAATCTACATCTTTATAAAACAGCCTTGTTTACAGGTGTACCTTAAAGCACAAGTCAGAGATCATCTATGTACTGTATGCAGCAGTTCCTCTTGGTTTGGATATTACTAGTAGTGATGAGTTTTATTACGAGTGTGTGTTAGTCCTCTCAGCGTCTCTGCGAGTGTTTTGGTGAAGCGGGTGCTGCTGTGTTGTGGGTCTTTGGATACCTGGATGGTCTGAGCCTCCGTTGCACTAACCCATCGCTCTGCTTCTATGCTTCTGTTACACCCCTGTGTGTGTGTTTTTGTGTGAGTGATGTGACACTGACATAGTCTGTCCACCATTAACACATACAACCAGCTCCCTGCAACACCACATAACCATTAACGACCAGTTTCTCGTTGGCGTAGATCACGAAGAGCACACGTACAGTCAGAGCACACAGTTGAGAGGCTGCTCACATAGCTTAGTGCTAATTGGGTGCAGGAATATGGTCAGTTTTTACACAGCTGATAGAAAACCTTTCATATATAGTGAGCACTTCACAACACACTTTGAGACGTAGAGAGTGCTTTAGATGTGGTTTAAGGAGAGGTAGTCATTTTTAATTCCATGGAAAGTGAAACATCTCTATGTTTTTGGGCTCAAGCAGATGTGGTAGGGAGTCCGGATCGCCAAATAACTTCTTTTTTTTTTTTCTGTCAGTAATACAGTAAGTGTAACAACAGTTTTGGCATTCCTTATTATCATCGAGGAAGAATGGAGGAAAAGAAAATATTGAAGAGAGCTCAGTCTCCTATTGGCTATGCGTTGAACTGTTTTGAAAAGGAGGTAGTGTTATTTTTGGTTTTTATCTCGTTTCAAGATGTCTGTCTGCCACTTTGTACTTTGTTAGAAATCAGTCTCTAATGTGACAGGAAACAGTCCTGTTTGAACACAAAGTCATCAGAAAGGTTCTTTCATTAAATAAGAAAAATCGTGCAAGAGATAGTATGAAAATATGAACCCAGCTTTCAATTACATGATGTCCCTTGGTTGTTTTCCTCTTACATTGGTATATTTTCTCTATTGTTTTGAGTTGTTCCCTCTTTATTGTAATATATATGTTTTTGGAATAACTCCTCCCTGTCCCAAGATGTGACCTTTGAAACCACATTACAGTACACTTCCTCTTCCTGCAAATACTACATACAGACCAATAGGGCGTGTTTGTTCCCTAGATTGAAAAACTCCAAATGTTTGTTACGACAGCACCAGAAAAAGTATCCTGTAAAGCGAAAAAGTGTTCAAATGTCTCACGAGTGCCTCATTTGTAGGCCTGCTCAAACAGCAGTAGGGCCAGTCCGAGGATTGTGTTTGAAACACAGTTTAGCCTGAGCGTGGGAGAGACAGGGTTTCACCTCTAAGTGCTTTTTTCTTTTCTCTTTCTTTTTGTTTTTCAGAGGAACTGTGCGAGGTTTGATAATACTAGTTTTTGGCCTCATACCAAATGCGAGTCATTCGTAAACCGCTTATCATGTAAAAGCTTTGATGTCTCCAAATTCTGGTTTGCTTTACACACTTTGGTTTTTCGGAATGGTGTGCACTGTAAGTCATGTATAATTGGAACACAATAGTTATATGAATACAATAACAAGAATTCAAACTCCTGGTTTGTTGTCTTTTGGCCAATTCTTTACGAAGAAAATAAAAAGGAAACTCAAAAAAGGGCAAAATAAACTACAGGGTTTTTGGTTTTCTACATATTTCTTTGGTTACCTGTAACAAAAATAAAATGGGAATAAGCAGATAATAGATTAAAATAAATGTATGTTAAATTTGGTATGGCACTGTAGAGAAAAGTAATGCTTTTATGCTCACGGAAAACAAACAAAAAAATAAATCTCAGGTGCTATTCCTTTCACACAAACTCACACAGTGAATTGCAGATAGCGTCTACACAGTAACTATTACGACCATAGAGCTTAGAATCGAAGCTGAGCAGAGTTGCCACATTTGGTGTCCCACGGAAAGAATTCCCCCTTATTTGTTAATCAATTTGGACACAGTTCCAGGCAGAACCTTTGTGGGACGAGGTATTCTCTGACTGCAGTAATAATATATATATTTTTAAAGCATTACTGATATTTCTCAACTAAATACACAACCAAAAACAAGTGAATGAGAGAGAATTAAAAACAAGATTCAGCTGTTAAATAATCTGTCTGGATAATGGCAACTTTAAGTGCTATTTCCAAATTTCTTGCCTGCTACACTTGGGACAGAAAGGGAAAGGGGCAGGAGTGGGGGGGGTCGGGTATCACAAGTTGGGACAATACTGCGCTATCTCTTTTTTTTTTTTTGCCAATACTCATTTGGAATGGTGTGAACAGCCAGAGTAAATCAAACAATTTACAATACAAAAACAAAAACAGCATCCTTAGAAAAGGTACGTCGAAACAGAACGCCACCGTGGAAATATTGATCCTCAAAAATAAACAATGATAATAACATCAAATAAAAAAAAAAAGGAAATGACAAAAGCTACCACACTTTTTTTTCTTGTTATATTCCATAATCATGAACAGTTTTCTTTTTTAGTCACAATATTTCTGTCGACGCTTCCACCCTCATTTCTCTCTGCTTCCCCTCTTTTCTTCTCGTTCTCAAAGTGTTCCAAGCTCATCGCTCCATCCGCAGACGGAGGAGAGGAGAAGGACAGCACCATATGGTCCTATTCCTGCAGTCTTTTTGGGGTGGGGATGGGAAGGGATGGAGGTGCGGTAGGAAAATGTCTTTTCTCTCACTTAGAAGCAAAGAGTTTAAAAGATGTTCGTCACTAAGTGTCTTGCTGGGGGCAGAAGTTTGGACAGGGACCAGGGCCACAGCCTCGCAATGGGCTCACACGTGGACTTGGAGACAGGAGCCAGCTCTGCAGAAGTGTTGGGGCACTGCTGAGCTATGAAAGCGCTCTTCCTTCCTTCCTTCCCATCTTGAAGCCCGACAGTTTCATTTCAATTTAAATCAAAGAAAATGAAAAAGCAAGTCATTGACTCAAAGAGGGGGACGAAGGAGAGGTACACGTCTGCACAGCCCCTGGTGACTGCTCCAAATCTATATACACATAATCCTGTGTGTGTGTCTCTCTTTCGAACACACACACACACACACACACACACACACACACACACACACACACACACACACACACACACACACTTGTGTGTTTTCTCAACTGATATAACGGCTAGCCAGGCAGCCCGAGACAACAGCGAGGAGGGCGTATGCAGAGTGGTCGGGCAAGGAGGAGAGTGTGTGTCCTAACCTCTAAGGGTCTCTACACAGAGGCTGATTTCACCAGGGGGGATGATGAGACATGGTTTGACAAGTTAATGAGTGTAAGTGTTTCTGTGTGAATGTGTGTTTGTGCGTGTGTGTATGCATTGAGTGGTGTTGCACCTCTGAGCCAAGTGTTGGAAAAGACAAAACACATGGAGGTAAAGCAGTGCTCCACAGTCTTGTTTTTGCGTTCGAAAGTAACGGAGGTCATCTAACCCTGTTTGGAGTTTCTCAATGTTGTCCTTGGTTGCTTGCATTTTCTTAAAAACAAAAAAAAAACATTCTCTTTTTTTCTCTCTTTTCTTTTAAGTGTACTGAAGCTATTTTTTCCTCTTCACGCTGACGAGAGGGCTCAGGGATTGATCTCGCTATGTCTCGTCCCTCTGCTCCATCTGGGATCATTCCTACTCCAGCTCCTCAGTAGGAAGATCCTCCTCCAAGTCACGCTCGTCGCTCGGCAAAGGGAGGCTGTGTGTAACGCCGCCCAGGAGGGATACTGACCGACAGTCCTCCTCCAAATCAGTGGGCTCCTCCTTCACATGCACCTGGTGGCTGGAGGAGAGTGCAAACAGCTGTGAGCAGGGCGAGGGGTAAAGTTTTAGAGGAAGTTGCCAAAAGCAGAACTTGTCACGGCAAATATTTTCTGGCACGTTCAGAGTTAGTTCAAAATGTAACGAGTGCTATCCAGGTAGTTTTGCTGTTACTTTTGGAAATGCATGTGTGCTGTCACTTATGTACAGTCAAAGTTTAGTAAAGTTGAGGCAACAAGAGCACAAAAAGATTGTCTGTTAAGGTTGTAGTTGGTGAATGTACACAATATATGTCAGTGTCGGTGGAGGTCTGTGAATTGTGTTTAGACTGTCCAGTTATGTAAACTAAACTAAACTAAAATGATTTCTCGTCAGCCATCTTCTATGAAGATGTTAATATTTGCATCAGTATCGCCATCATACCTCCATCATATAGATATATATCATAATATATTATATAGATAGACAACACTGACTTGCTGATGAAGATGCTACTATTAGTCTTATACACTGGCCCTACACCTCTTCTTCTTCTTTTTTGAGCATGCACGTGTGCGTGCGTCCAAGTGTACCTGTACTGGTGAGGGCTGAGTGTGGGGCTGCAGCTGCCGTTGCTGTTGACCTGCTCCACAGTAGAGCTGACATCATCGTGGCCCACATGCAGCATGTTGAGGCTGGCCGCAGACGGGGACACCATGGAATGGCTGTTGAGCAGGGACAGACTGCTCTCTGCCAGAGCCGCCTGCACACAAACACACAGCGTTGTCCGGCCACATTAAACATCTAAATCTTACTTATACATTTAACTTGTAATGCTCAAAGTGTGTTTATAAGTGCACACATAACACGTTAAACACGGTATAATAATTGGTCACAGTGACAATGAATGATGGATATAGTTTTTCTTTATGCACTGATGAGAGCTCTTCCATACGGAGCACATTTAAATCCAATAACTTGCTAGTGAACTTGACAAACCACTAGAGGGCACTTATATACAGTGCTTTCCCCCCAATCACGGCTTGTGCTTTTAAGTCATAAGTGCGTGTGTTCGTAAGAAAGTCTCAACAGGAATGTTAAGCGAGACTGATCCACAACCTCAACTTAGACGCACTCGCAAACACGGTAAAACCTCAATGTCTGCAGAAGAGAAAACAACTGAACCAACAGGGGCAGCTTCTGTCACAGCTCACATCCAGCTGTTCTGAGATGAGGCAGGTTGCGCACTAGCTGAGAGACTCACCCCACCTCCCCGCTCACAAAGGAGGGGAAAAAAGACAAAAAGAAGGGAATTCTCACTAGCTAAGAGATGGATTTTCTGGAACAGGCGATAATTTTATGCGGTAACCTTAATTGACAACTACTTGACGCTATAAATCATCTCAGTGGCAAAATTGCATGTGTGTGTGGGTTCGGTGTGTATCTCTGCAAAGGAGTGAAGAGATGGATCAAGTGTGTGTGTGTGTGTATGTGTGTGTGTGTGTGCAGAGTTGGCACATGTGTGAGAAAGTGAGGTGGGAGGTGAGTGTGTGTTGGTGTGGGAGGAGGGAGGTGGCATGAACGTCGTTAGGGATTCTGCTAATTATAAGAGGGAATTGATATTGGTGCCCTTGATTGCGATTGGCTGCTACGTGTATGTGTGTATGTGTGTGTGTGTGTGTGTGTGTGTGAGCGAGATAGAGAGAAATGGG